GAGGCTGGAGAATTTTACAGCACACTCTGCAGATATAAACTAGGGTTTGGACTTCATCCTTGGAAATGAATGTCACAAGGGCAGAGACTGTCACTTCTGCACACAATTTCATGTCCCTGCAGTGACCCTGCCATCACACAGCTAGAATGAATGAATGAATGAAACCTCTTGTCCAAAAGGATGCCATATTGTCAAATCAGATAAGTTTCTATTCACTTTAACTCCTAAAGGAAATGTATCCTTGTGTCCTTGTAAGGACATGTGTCCTTGTAAGGACATGTCAGTGAGTCAGTGGGTGGGTGTCAGAACTAAAGGTCACAGGGAAGTCTAATAATTTTGGAGTCAGGAGACAGACTATTAATCCAACCATTCATTTGTCTTGCACCTGGTAAATCTTTTTATTCTTTTTAAATAACAACTGAAAAAAGTCAGGACTGGCCCTGAGATCCTGGCAAATCATGTAAACTTTCTCAGCTACAAAATAAGGAAACTGACAGACACTCTACTTCTCTCACAAGGGGTAGTAAGGAGAAAATGACTGAAGCTATATGAAAGTGACAATACACAGGCGATGCTTTGAAGAGCGTGGGTGCCATGTCAATGGTGGGGATTATTTCTCCTGGCCATTTTGAAAGGCCTGTGTCTAAAGTCAAGAGCGCAGAGAGGATGAGCCACCCCAACCTTTCCATCGTCCTGGTGGTTCTCTGAGGCAGGTACAAGGTCTTCTACAGCCAGGATAGAGGGTCAGCCCCACACAGTGGGGATCTGAACCAGGTATGAGGGAGCAGAGCCTAACCAGAGGGGTGAGAGCAGCCTGTGAGCTGCTCCCCAGTGCAGACTGGGCTGGGGAGCCACCGACAGGCTGGGGAGCAGAGGGCCTTCCTGCCAGGCTCTCCCTCTGCAAACCTCAAGGCAAGGCACCCACAAAAAAGCCAGTTCATAAGCTCCTTAATGAGAAAGGAAAGTAGAGACTGACAGAGATGAGGGAGGAAAGAGATTCGGGGCCAGAGCCCACTCCACTGGGTGCCAAGGTTCCTGCGAGTTTGACATTTGGAAAAGATCTGGCCTGGAGGCGCCAAGGATTTGGGACAGGACTCCTTCCGGCTCCCGGGACTGTCAAGAAGAAAAGGAGGGGGAGGAAAATGACTCAGCTGAAATAAAGAGAAATGTGTTTTTAAAAAGGGAAACGATGAGAGGCACAAAGGAATGAGATGGAGCCCCAGGACAGGGTCCAGATGCCTTCTCAGACGAAGCGGGGCCAATCTGCAAAGCGCTAACAAGCTCACGAGGGCTTCCAGACCAAGAATAACACCTCGAAAATGAAGAGCATCTTCCAGGCTTGCCAGGCCTCGGGGCCCGGACCCTCCAGGTCCGGGGTCCCCAGGGGCTGGTGCCCACCTCTGCAGGAGAAACGCTGCGGTTGACCCAGCAGCGCAGAAGCTCCTCCACAGGTTTGACTCTGAAGACGGGGGCGGTTTTTGCACAGAGGAGTTAGATAGAAACTCATTTCACATTCAGGCTCACACTCACCCAGCAGGGCAGGGCTGGGAGAAGGGGCTAGGATGCCCTTCAACTCCTTCCCGGCTTCATTCCATCCACCAAACCCTGGGGGGTGGGGGAGGCATGGAAGCAGGCTCCCTCCCTGCAAGCTGATGCAACTCTCAACACGAACCCCCTGCCCCCAACAGCCAAGGGCAGATGGCCTTGATTGCAGAAGTGTCAATGGAGACTGCGAAGAGATATGAGAATATGAGAATAAAGAGAATCTGTTGGGACTTCCCTGGTGGTCCCATGGTTCGGGGACTGGTTCCATCCCTGGTTTGGGGAAATAAGATCCCACAGGCCACGTGGTGTGGCCAAAAGGGGGGAGCAGGGTGGTCATTAAAAAAAAAGAGAGAGAGATAGAGAAGCCGCTGGCTGACAACTCTGCATCTCCATGCCCCAGCTCACCCAGCACTGGGTTCATGCTGGGGACCACCTCCCCCCAGCATGGAACTCACATTTCTAGAAGAGGAGAAATTAGGAAGAAGAGGTCAGCTCAGCATGGCTGAAGAACTGTGAACCCCTCGCACAAGCCTATCAGCCCTGTCAACCTTTCCGAGTTGCTCGGCATTTACCCAGAGGCTCCTGTTCCTGGAGAAAACATCATGTGTCCTTCCGGGAGGACACGAAGCAGGGAGGCCAGCCTGCCGGGGAGCACAACGACACGTGCAGGGCAGGACCGGGAGGCGGTCGACAGACCAAAGCCAGCTGTCCCACGGTCCAGAAGCAAGGCTGGGGTGGGAAGCCTCCCCTGACTTGTAAGAGAGCTCTCTGACAGTAGCCCTACATTCTAGCAGAAAACAGGAAACCAGCAGAGAATTCCTGGCCCTCCACATGCTCGGTTATCCCAGCACCTCCAAGACTAGAAGCTGTCCCTCTGGTCCATTCAAAGGGCTGCCAGCACCTGGCAGGGGGTTTCAGGCACCTAGAAACTGAAAGCGTGGGGCCGACCAGCTGCCCTCTGAGCTCACTCCCACTAGCTGTGGCCGCCCTGACGTTACTTTACCAGCCTGGGACCTGCTCCACAGACAACCACAGGCAGCGTGGGAAGCACAGCCACACCTGTCTTTCCAGGGCTCGGGACCTCGGAAACTGGTTTGGTGAGGGAAAGCAGAGACAGAATTAAAAGTGTGAGAGATCTGTTAAGAGAAACAGTGTGAAAGGTCAGGCGAAAAGAAGAAGCAGGCAGGTGGTGCCTCAGACCGAAGTGCAGGGCTGACACCTGGGAAGGGAGAGAGGGAAGGAGGGAGCGCTGAGTAGGACTGCAGGGCAGATTTGAGAAAGTCTCAGCCAAGAGGGTGGGGAGCCCAGGGATGCTGCTCTGTGTGGGCAGGAGTGGCAGGCTCTGCCCCAACCCCCACCATGAGCTCAGTCATTGCCAGGAGCAGCCTGGGAAGAGGGTGGCTTGGCATGAACAGAGTGATGGGCTGGAAGGAGTGTCAGGCAGAGGCTGAACCAGTTACACTCTTCACAGCAGGGAGGTATGAGCAGCACCCTCCCACAGCTATCTAATAGCCAAGACTTCTTAAACTTTAGCCAATGCCTGTTTTAAACTAAGCCTTCCCTGCTGCTCAGATGGTAAGGAATCTGCCTGCAATGCAGGAGACCTGGGTTTGAACCCTGGGTAGGGAATATTTCCCAGGAGAAGGGGATGGCTACCCGCTCTAGTATCCTTGCCTGGAGAATTCCATGGACAGAGGCACCTAGCAAAGAGTCGGACAGAACTGAACCACTCCCGCTTTTTTTTTTAAACTTACTTGGTGCTAGGTGAAGTAAGTCAGACAGAGAAAGGCAAACATGTCTCTTACACGTGGAATATAAAAATTTACACAAATGAACTTATTTACAAAACAGAAACAGACTCACAGACAGAAAACAAACTTGGGGAAAGCTGAGAGGGGCATAAATTAGGGATTTGGGGATATATATGAAGTAGATAAACAAAGACCTGTAGTATAGGATGGGATATAGCACTGTACAGCACATGATATTTTGTAATAACCTATATGGGGAAAGAATCTGAAAATCTGAAATATATATATATATATATATGTTCATTTTCAGATTCTTTTATCTTTCACTTTTCATATACACATATGTGTATATATATATGAATCACTTTACACATGAAATTAACACAACATTGTAAATCAACTATACTGCAAAAAAATAATTAAAAAACAAAACAACAAAAATAAATCCTTTAACAGAGCATTCAATTCTTGAAACAGGTTCTACCAGCCCTTTTGTAAGAGGCTTTACCAGGTTGTTGTGCAAAACAAGTCCAAGAATGAAGGCAACACTGACTGGCAAACTAGAAGGCCCCCACTAGAAGTTCACAAAATGAAGGCTCACGGGTCACATATAGCCTGAGGTTTTGTTTGACTCACACACTGATTTTTTTTTTTAAGTTAAATTAGTTGCCAGCACAGAGAAGCCATCAAAATCTAAATTTCCAGCTTCCCTTCAAATATAATAACATCCATCAATCCTGAGACTTCCCTGGTGGTCCGGGAGTTAAAACTCCACCTTCCAGTGTAGGGGACACGGGTTTGATCCCTGAGCAGGGAATTAAAATCCCACATAACAAGGGCAACTAAGGCCAAGCACTGCAATGCAGATCACACTCACCACAACTAAAAAGACCCAATGCATCCAAATAAATTTAAAAAATAATATCCATCAATATGAGCTGAGCCCATATTCCAGCTCACCACAGTTCTTATCACTCCCTACTGTCTTTCTCCCTACCTACTTCCCTCAGTCCTTGACCAGACTGGCTTCTGCAGGCTTCCTGCCTACACTCATGGATGCATCTCAGCCATTCATGGCCATTCCATTTCCTAGGGGGATGCAAAGAGAAACATTCAGAACATCTAAAAAGAGCTCTGAAAACAAGTTTTTAAATAAATAAAAAGGGCTCTGGGTAATTAAAATATACCAGAGAAAAATGAAAAAAAAATCAATAAAACATCCGAGGTAAATTTAAGAAAATCCTTCAGAAAGAGACTAATTATGGAAGAAAAAGAAGATCAATCTAGGAGATTTATCCAATCAGGAGGACTTCCAGAATAAGGGAATGAGAAAATAGTAGGGAGAAAATTGTCTAATAAATAATACAGAATTGAAGCACAAGAGCTTTCAGACTGAAGAGGCCTAAAGAGGACCCAAGATAGTGAATGAAAAACTCCCCAGTCATATGCATCCTTGTGAAAGTTCAAAATTCCTAAGGGGAAAGGGGAAAAGCCCAAATGCTTCCAAAGAGTGGAAAAGAAATACAAGGAATCAAGATCAACATGTACACACTGCTATATTTAAAACAGATAACCCAGCGGTAGGGAGGGGTTCTTTACCCGGTCCGGCAGCTGAAGCTCGGCGTTTGGGTTACCCCTGCAGCGACGCCCCCTGGTCCCACCGGTACCACTGCTGCTTCCGCCCCTTCGCTTCTCGGCCGCGCAATGGGCACCCGCGACGACGAGTACGACTACCTCTTCAAAGTTGTTCTTATTGGAGATTCTGGTGTTGGAAAGAGTAATCTCCTGTCTCGATTTACTCGAAATGAGGTTAATCTTGAAAGCAAGAGCACCATTGGAGTAGAGTTTGCAACAAGAAGCATCCAGGTTGATGGGAAAACAATAAAGGCACAAATATGGGACACTGCAGGGCAAGAACGATACCGTGCTATAACATCAGCATACTATCGTGGAGCTGTAGGTGCCTTATTGGTTTATGACATTGCTAAACATCTCACTTATGAAAATGTAGAGCAGTGGCTGAAAGAACTGAGAGATCACGCTGACAGTAACATTGTTATCATGCTTGTGGGCAATAAGAGTGATTTGCGCCATCTCAGGGCAGTTCCTACAGATGAAGCAAGAGCTTTTGCAGAAAAAAATGGTTTGTCATTCATTGAGACATCTGCTCTAGACTCTACAAACGTGGAAGCTGCTTTTCAGACAATCTTGACAGAGATATACCGCATTGTTTCTCAGAAGCAGATGTCAGACAGACGTGAAAATGACATGTCTCCAAGCAACAATGTGGTTCCTATTCATGTTCCACCAACCACTGAAAACAAGCCAAAGGTGCAGTGCTGTCAGAACATACAAGGCGTTTCTCTTCTCCCCTAGAAGGCTGTGTATAGTCCAATTCCCAGGTCTGAGATTTAAATATATTTGTAATTCTTGTGGTCAAAATAAATAAATAAATAAATAAAACAGACAACCAGCAATGATCTGCTGTATAGCATAGGGAACTCTGCTCAATGTTATCTGCCAGCCTGGATGCAAGGGGACTTTGGGGGAGAATGGATACATGTATATGCGTGGCTGAGCCCCTTTGCAGTTCAGCTGAAATTATCACAACATTGTTAATCGCCTATACCCCAGTACAGAATTAAAAAGTTTTTAAAAAAAGAATTTGTAAGGCCTCAGACTTCTCACCAGCAACTTTGGAAACCAAAAGACAAAGGAGCCATGCTTCAGCATCCTGTGGGAAAGTAACTCTATCCCTAGTCAGATTATCAATTAAGTAGAGTACAATCCAGATATTTTTCAAACATGCCAGGTCTCAAAAATTTTCCTTCTGAAATATCCTTTCACAGGAAGCTCCTGAAGGCTGCATGCTGCCAAAATGAGGGAGTAAAATTAGAACAAAGACATAATCAGATCCAGGAAGCAGAGACCTAGCCCAGGAGAGAAGGAAGGGGCTTCCTAGGATGATGGTAAGAAGAGTCCAAGGACTTCCCGGGTAGCCCAGTGGTTAAGACACCATGCTTCCAGTCAAGGGGGTGGGGGTTCAATTCCCTGGTCTGGGAAGTAAGATCCCAGATGCCACATGGCATGCCAAAAAAAAAAAAAGGTCCAGGCTGACAGTTGAGCAGCCAGCCCCCCTGGGAGCAGGGGACCATGGGGACTGCAGAGGATCACTTCATGGTTTGGCCAGAGGTCTTGAGGGGTAAGTTAGTGATGGTTAAATTACTCACAGGAAACTAAGCAAACCAAAAATAAGTGAAAGACATGAATGGGCATTTCACAAAGGATCTCCAAATAGCCAATAAGCACATGAAAAAGGCCTCAACACCATCAGCCAGTAGGAAGATACAAATTAAAACACCTATGATCATCGCTGTCTACCCAGCAGAATAGATCAAACAAAGAATAACAGAGTCCCAAGCACTGGCGAGGCAATGAAGCAACTGGCTCTCATACGTTACTAGTGGGGCACCAGTGGCCCAAACACTTTGGGAAACTCTTTGGCAGTTTCTGAGAAAGTTAAACATATGCCCATCCTATGTCCCAGAAACTCCACTCCTAGGAATAAATCCAGAGGAATGAACACAAACAGAGCCACAATAATACTAGTACAAGAATGTTGAGTAACTTCATGCATAATAGCCAAAAACTGAAACCAGCCCTAATATCCATCCAACTGGAGACGGATAAACCAAGCGTGATTCTTCCATCCAAGGAATATGAGTTGGCAATCAAAAGGAATGAGTGACACACACAACCATGTGGATGAAGAGAGGTGACAGAAAAGACACTGAAGCTCCTTATAGAAGTTCACACCCAGGAAATGCTAATCTACGGGGTGAGAATTCAAAATAGTATTATTTCTAGGGGATCAAGACTGACAGATATTAACTGACAAGGACAAAAGGGAAATGTCTAGAATGACAGATATGTCCTGGTGTCACAGGCATATTGTATTTAGAAGTCATTAATCAGGGAACTTAAAATACACTTTATTATGTGTTAATTTATTCCCCAAAAAAGTACTGGGGGAAAAAAAGAAAATGAAATAAATTTTAAAATTATTAATTTCATGAAAAATAAAAACATATTAAAAAAGAAAATGCTACCATAGGACACTCCATGTAATATGGACCTAGTTTGGCTGTGAGCTGTGAACACAGTTCTAGTAGATAAATATACTATATACAGATTCAACCAGAAATCTCTATTGGCAGGATGAGCAGAAGGGCAGTGTTTATGTATTGCAGAGGGTTGGGGATGAGTAAAGAGAGACAAATCTTAATATTTTATAGTAGGAAGTCAACAGATCATGTGTAAAATCAAATATACAAATAAACAAGAAATAGCAGTGAGGTGTGTTTTTCGGGCTTCTGAAGGTAAATACAAGGAGAAATAGCTAAAGAGCAGCAAGTGGTTGTCTCTGGGGAATAGCATTCAGTGGTGGGGACGTGTGGGCCAGATCATTTGAATCTGCTAGAGTTAGGTCTGGCAAAAAGAAATAGGAACCCGAAACAAAATCCCTTAATTAAAACAGAAATGTAAAAGTCTGGAGATAGACAACCCAGGATTACTCCACAAAGGCCTCAAAGATTCAGGCTCCTTTTTCTCACCACTATACCATACACTGGCTCCAGTTTCAAGACCACCTTATGCTTTTCAATATGGCTGCTCCAGCTCCAGCCATCAAATCCACATTTCACCCAGTGGGATGGAAAAAGAGATAAAGACAAAAAAGGGTGCCTGTCTTTCCCCAAAGCACCCCCACAACACTTCTGTCTAAGTCTCACTGGTCAGAACTGAGCCCCGTCGTCACTCCTAGCTGCAAGGGAAGCTGGGACAAGTCTTCTCTAATCTGAGCAGCCATGTGCCCACCATGGAAGAGGGGAGCCTCTGTCATTAGGACCTGTGCTTAAAACTTTTAACTATATAGGCATCACTTTGATTTAGAAACAAAACTGTGAGCAAAAAGAAGTCGCATGAGCAGCCAACAGACAAAGGGAAGAAGAGTTCTGCTGCATTATTGTACCGCAGGCTGCATCAGTCCCAGGCGGGCAGTAGAAAATACCTAATGACGCATAACCACCACCTCAGTCTTCCCACCACAGCAAAGGAGCCAGAGGGGGCCCAGAAGGAAAACTAAGGAGGCGATACATGGAATTAAGGTATTGGGTGGTGCACGCCAGGGCAAGAATCCATCCGAGGGCCAAGTGACTCCACAATGACAACCTTTCAGATAGTCCCAAGCTCTGAAACCTTCCCTAGCCTTCCACATTTAGACCAGCTTTCAAAAAGATAAAAATCACACAACACCCCAGAAAGGTAGAAACTGTTACTCCTCCTTTACAGATAAACAGACTCCCAGAGGTTGAGTAACTTCCTGCAGGTCATATCTGGAGAGGCTAGGACTTGACCTCAGGAATCCCCAAGACAGAGTCCTGGTTTCTCTCCTCCATGACACGGGCACTCCTCCAAGGGGTCTGGGCGGCCACCCGAAGCTTTTGGATTCTCTGCAGAGCCACATCAGGCCTGTCAATAAGTCACAAGACGCCATGACTCATCTGAAGACAAGATAAACAACAGGGAGGCCCGGTGGGATGAGAGGCCCTGTTTCCTAGGAAGTTGCCTTCTGCAGGGCTGAAAGAGTACACAGTCAGCAGTCAGGAACCTCTTCTGCAAACATCAGCGCAGCAGTTTGCAGACAAAGAAAAAGCACTGCTGGTCCTGGAGATGGGTGGCAGAGCTGGGAGCCATGAGTTATTTCCATCCTGAAAGGGCTTTTGTCAAGCCCAGGCCACGAGCCTGAGCATATAGAATTCCAAGCCTTTCCCCTCCAATTTCTCCAAAACCAGAAGGGAAGGTCCGTCTGCGCTGATCTAAAGTGAGTTCTCTACTGCATCCCTTCTGAGAATACCAAAATGTTTAACCAGTGCTTCTGGATAAAACTGCAGACCCTCCAAGTGACCTTGGGGCAACCATTTCCTCTTCCTGCACCCCAGCTCTCAGGGGAGAATAAGATGGCTCTCAGGGAGACGAAGGTGATCTGAGAGAGGGCAGAAGGAGCTTACTGCCCCCAGCACCCAGCCAACCAGATCTGTCTGGACACGACAGGCTCATAGGACCAGTCGAAGCACAGAGCCCAGATGGCCCAACAGCAAAGTGGCAGGTAGTCAGGAAGGGCAGAGCAGAGAGTGCAGAGGCCAGCAGGAGGGATCCAGCCCAGGGCTCAGTCCTGCAAAGACTCAGGCCACGAGAAGAAATCTACTGTCAAATGAAGGATCCAAGTAGAGCCTTGAGGCTTGGTCATCAGGAAATATGACAAGAGATAGGCTTGCTGGACTGTAGGTCAGAGTGAGGTGACATAATGCTGATTCAGCCAGAGAGAACTTAAGAGGAAATTTTCACTCTCCCTAAGCAGTCACGGAGCTGATGCCAGAGTCTGCAATTGAGGCAACTCGAATGTTTGGGGATGAGAGGACAGGGAAGCCCCAGAGGCAATTCAGGAAGCAGCATGTGCTTGGCCACCTCCCTCCTGTCCACCTGCTCAGAAGAACCTGCTCCTCCAAATCATCACAGCCAAGCAGGTGGCCTTCAAAGCAGCCACAGGACTCTGTGACAACACTCAGAACAATGTCTTGCTTATCCATGACCTCTTCTTGGACACCTCCAGTTTGAATGGACATTCCCTACCACGCATTTTATCTCTGAGTCAATTCTAATCTTCTACTGCTATTGGCTCAGCAGTAGAGAATCCACCTGCCAATGCAGGAGATGCAGGTTTAATCCCTGGATAGGAAAGATCCCCTGGAGTAGGAAATGGCAACCTACTCCAGTATTCTTGCCTGAAAAATCCCATAGACAGAGGAGCCTGGTGGGATAGAGTCCACAGGATTGCAAAGAGTTGGGCATGACTGAGCAACTGAGCACACATTGTTATTTTAAAATGACTGACTCTCACTCTATCCCAGCACAATGCAGGGTACTCAGAAGAGCTTAGTAAATATCTTTGTCTTTGACTACAATCGAAAATAATCTATTTAAGGAGATTAAAAAAGAACTGCATGAGAAAATGACAATACAAGGACAAGATGATGCTATGAAAACAAAATCATAAATCCTAAGGGAGCATTGAAAAAAATAAGTAAATCAGAGAAAGGGGCCATTAATCTGGGAGGGCTTCTTAGAGAAGGTGAGTTTTGAACCAGTTACTAAGAGAAATAGAGAATATATTAGAATTATTTTGTTTGCAAGCATCAGCAATCTAATTCAAAGTAGCTTAAGCCAAAAGAGACAAGAAAAAGTAGGAAGGGGGAGGGAAGGAGTCAAGGAGAAAAAATACAGGGGAACTGCATTGACTCATGTAATGAAATGTAGGC